TGTTTGTAAAGTTGATTATTTACATTTCTTATTATTATATTGTAATTCTTTTACCCATGTTGCAAAACATTATGTTTTAAATGTTGTTGTATGCCTCGTTTCCTATGCTAATGGTTCAAGTGCAATTGTTGTGTTGGAATGCATTATGTTGATGATGTTGTTGTGCATGTTAAGAGTCCATGCATCCATGTTGCGAAAATTATGTTCTAAATTATGTTGTGGCCTCGTTTCTTATCGTGATGGTTCAAGTGCGAGTAGTTAAATCCTTTGTCCGAAGATTTGGTGAAGCGTTACTTATGGCGATGGTAGAGATTTATTGTACTCGAATTCCAAGAGGGAATCGATTCTATGGTGGGGATCATGGAGTAAAGTGAACCTAATTGTTCATGTTATGGTACCACATGCATTGTGTCGGTGTTGTTGCATTAACATCCTATGTGACATTGCATGAGCTTTATTGATGAAATATGTTGTGGTAACACTTGTGATTTGTTATGTGTTCATGTGTGAATTTTATGATGAATGTGAAGCGTGAGCAAATTATGATGAATGAAGGTGTGAGTATAAGTTATATTGATGTTGTTGAATTGTAGACTATAATTGTTAGAGTTTACTTTTCCCTTATACCTTTTATAATTGAATGTGATTACTCACCCCTTCTGTCTGAATGTTACCTCTACGTGAGTAACATACATATATCCAAGAGTAGCTTACAGATGTAGGGAAGATATCTCATTGGAGTAGTAAGTAGTTACCGTTAATTTTAGAGGTGTCTTGCTCTGATATGTAACATCAGGTCGGGAACGCTTGATTGGATATGTATTTCTTTACGATGCAATTAGGTTGAGGTCTTTGCAAGAATTTTTGGTTGTTGAACTAGTTTTGTCTCAACTTTTTTATGAGACTAAATATCACGAGTTTGAAAGTTAGGAATAATTATTTGATTATGATTCTGATGTGACGTGTTTAATTAAGTATTGAAGTAGCATAAATACCATGAATGTGTATGTTTATGAATAGTTTAATATTATTTTTGTAACCCGAGTTATAAAGTAGGATTGATTTATGACGTTTTTATGACATGTGACACCCTTGTGTGGTAATTCCAATTAATTTATTCGTAAATTTTATGACGGATTTAGAAGGGTGTTACAAGAAGCAGAGGACTTCACTTCTCCAGAAGTTGTAGCTAGCTCCATTGAAGGAATTGCTTTGAAAAATAAAAGGAACAAAACTAAGTTGTTAAATGGTGATTGTGATCTAAAGAAAAGAAAAAATATGTACTTCTCAATAAAAAAAAGAAGAAAAAAAAGAAAAAGAATAAGAAATGTCAAAACTCGCACAAAAAGAAAACTCACCAAAAATAAAAAGTTGTAAGTGAAAAAGAAAGGGGACTTTGAAAAACAAAGTGATATACAAGTCTTGCTCTCTTATCTATTATGCATATTGATACCATAAAAACCAAGATCTCCCAATCACGTTGCAGTCAAAACAAAGACTTTAGTGATCGATAACTGATTACATATCTTGTGATATTGGTTAGATGAAGTACAAAATGCTTGTATATTTGATGTATTATTTGATAATTAAGGAAACATTAAACATTTGAGTGATACTATTAACTCAAATTTTGTGAGTTAATACATGCCTTTAGTTTTTATTAATTAATCTTTTTATTAGTTTAATATTTGTAATTTCCTGCATTTTAGTTGTTTTATTTGTTTAGTTTGGAGCACAATAGGTGCTCCCTTTTTTATTACTAATGTGTGTTCTTGTAAGTAAAAGGTTAACAGAGACGAGTTGGGGAAAGACTGTAGTGGTCAGCTGCATGGAGCAAGCTGAAGAAGTTAGAAGGACTTAGAGGAAAAGAGAAATTAATAGTGCAAGCAGCTATCTGAAATGGATAACGTGCAAAGAAGAATAAATTGGAGGGAACACTTTGTTGTGTTGAAAAAGAGGAAGAAAAATTCATATTTAAAACACAATAGTGTAGGCGTTAGAGGGTAAAATCGAGTACAATAGTGCACTGCGCCGCTTGCACCTGCTATGGCAGCCTCCCACCATACACATTGTCTTCCACCATGGTCTCCTTTGTACCAGATTCCTTGTTTGCTAAGCAGCTGATGTTATGCATTGGTGTTACTTTTTGTATGGACTTGATGTGATTTCCTCATATTAGTTCCATGATCAAATGCAACACAAACCCTAATCATTGGTCTATAAATAGAATTGTAATGAGAAATGAAATTAGTTTAGTTGTTCTAAGAGAAAACACCAAGAGTTTAGTGTGTGGATAATGGAGTGTGATAGAGTTCGCTTCTCACTCAATTTTGTACTAGTTGATGAACAATGACACGACTGGAGATATCTCTTAAAGGCTAGTTGTCTCAAGTTATTTTCCACGTCTCTCTCTTAGGTTTATATATTTTCTTAATTTATTGTTAAATAGGTGTTTCTATTGAGAACCATGTTTGTACCTTGTACTCAGCTCACTATAAGCTAAACCTTTTGTAGTTGAGCAATGTGAAGTTAATATTAAAGTGTTTTTATATTATATGGTGTGTGGTTGAGTGATTTGTTTTATTATATATTAATCTATTAATAGTTTACTTCTTTGCTTAATCAATTTAGGAGTAGATGATAACTTGTTGTTATGAGAGATCCAACAACAAGTATTTTTCTTAATAAAGATAATTGAATGAGTATGATAGAGATATTCACTTGCTTAGCTTGCTTAGCGATAAGAAGCTATAACTATTTAGGACATTAGAAGACTAATAGACGCGTATTAGGGTTACAAGTGAGACTTAGAGATTTGTTTTTTTGTCCTTGTTATACATGTTTTGATGTTGTAGAGATACACCATAAGATTGCTCTGACCTCACCAGTCACGACACTACTCGTCATAAACACATGAGTACAATAATGATATTAATGGAACATAGCTTAACTCAATCACTCGTAATATATTTCCACGTCTTTTCACCTTACTTTTGACATCTATTTTAAGTGAACTTGAACTCACAAACACCAATCATTATTTCTCTCTTCTCATGCTTAAATCAAAAGAATAGTTTTCATACAAAAATCAACTCTAAGTAACAACACTCACTGTGGGTATGATACTCTTATACTTATTACTTGTTGGAATCACAACATGTATACTTGCATGTGACACTCTTTTAATAATTACGAGCAGATATATAGTGAGATCATGATTCTGATGAATAATTTACTGTTGATTTGAACATGTTTTAAATCCATACTTTAGTAAAGCAAGTTTTTCATCTTCGTGTTATAGCTTATGCTTGCTTATAATATTGATTGTGAACTTGCATCTTAAGAAAATCATGTCATACTTCAAAGCTCTTTTAAAAAGTTCTTGATTAAAGTTTTAAAACGTCACATGAACTATGCATATTGAACTTTTTGAGCCATTTATATTGATTTTCTTTGAGGACAAATAAAAAGATAAGTTGAGGAGAGTTAGTATGTGCCAAAAATACGTAAATTACATCAACACTTATTAACTTAATTTGCAAATAATCAATAAAAAATCCTTCAATTTATCATTAAAAGAAGATTAAAAAAACTTGTATGAACTTTTTTAACTATGTATTCACTAAAGAAAACTAAGAAAACATAAAAAAGACCACAACAAAGCACCTTTCAAAAGACAAGCTTGTTAAGTGAAGACCAACGTTGCACTAAGCAAGCAATAAGATGACTTCAAAGCCAAAAAACTTTAAGACTAAGCAACACAATTCACTAAACAAGATGACAAACTCGCTAAACGAGTTAAGGAGTTTCAATATTTTTTGATTAAATTACTTCATATAGAAGAAAGAGTTAATGCACGTTAAACGAAATATGAAAGAAAAGACATTTAAAGATGGCCTAATTTGATTTAGTAGAGAAAAAACACAAGTGTGTTAAGCGAGTTATACGCCCTAACGAAATGTATTACAAATTTGAATTCAAATCCAAACTCAAACGTATCATATGTCCACATGATATTTTATCATCTAAACTATATGATACCTCTTTATGTTGCTTAATATTTAATTAATTATAATGTTAAGTTTGTTCATGTAAAAAATATATCATCAATTCAACCAATTAAAATGTTGTATAAAGCTTAATTAGAACGAAAGTATCATAATTATCTTTAAATTATTACTATTTAATAAGCACTTATAATACATGCTATTATAGGTCGAACTTTTCTCCTTTTCTCCAAAATTCATAAATTATCATGACATGAAATAATAACCCACACCAAAACATTGGCCGTTAATTGGGCAAATCCACAAGTAACACTCCATAAAGCAAAATCACTTTTTATGATTAAGGATATACACAAAGTTTTCGGTGGTAATCTCTTTTTCTTTTTCATAATTTTATTTTCATTGAACAAGTGGATATACCATACCATCAATGTTCTACACCACTCGTGTGTAAAGATACGAACATAAATTATTCTTCAAAATCTTAAATCAATTATTCAACATTATTATTACACATATAAAATAAATACACGCAACTATACACACCACATGCTAAGAATAATTATATAAAAAATTGTGAAATATGTCTAAAACTATATGAATAATGAAAAACCAAGAAAATTCTATGAAGCTATAGATAATTTGAATGTCTATATTAATTAATTGATTCACACTACAAAAATTCAAAAATAGAGAGACAAATAGATACTAAAATAAATAAATACAAAGAGCTATTTAATTCTTCCTTTCAAGTAAAAAAGGAGAAATTAATTAATTGATTAATCCAGCTATAAGATCATACTAATATTGTCCCATTACATCATGAAGCAAAATAACATCATCAAACATAAAAACATCTTCACCATGTACATTAGTTAATTGCCTTTTTTTTTCTTTTAAGGAAGAAGAAAAATAAAAATAAAAATAAGAAAAACTCAATGGTCACCTTTATCCAAAAAAAAAAAAACTACTATTTTCATCCTTGGTTTTTCTTCATGGTGATCTCCAACTTCTTAATCCAATGTCATTGTGTTTCCTTGAAGGAGTTGAGTATGGTATGTGCATCCTTTTAGGTAAGGATCCAAAAAAGTTACCTTGGTGTTGAGATTTGGGATTCACTTTGAAGACATTAGTAGTGGTTCTTGAGGCATGAGAATGACCTAATATGAAGAGAATTAAAAGAAGCCAAAGTAGAGGTCTTGTACATAAGAACATGGTGTATCAAAGTTTCACTATGTTTCTAGATTGAAGATGTGTTTACAAGTGTTGAGGGAGGGTGGAGGAAAAAGCTTGTGGAATTTTGTGTAGGAAAATATGAGTACACTTGGAAGGTTTGTTTGTATTTTTGAGAGTTGAGAGATGATTTGGTGAAGAGAAATGGTCAAAGGAGAAGTTGAGAAATGTTGAGAGTTAGAAGCAGAAGAAAGTTGAAAAAGCTTGAAGAAAGCTTTTAGGAACGGGTCTTATGGGGTGGAGTGATTATTATAATGAAAAAAGCAAAAATTATAGTAATTTTTTTTTTGAATAATTTTTATATTTCAACAAGTATTATAAGAAAAGGGATTTGTTTGTTTGAATGGGAAGAAAAGTAGGAAGAAGCAAAAGGGGAGTGTTTTTTGGGTTATGTGATATATTTAGTTTTTGTTTGGTGAATGTTTGGACCCACCTAGTATTTATGAATGGCCGACTCAGAACTGTAGTTTAAGACCCCACCCTCCCTTCAATCCAACTTTTTCTATACTTTCTCTGCTTCTCTCTGTCTTAAACCCATTCCTCTAATTAAAAGGGTGTTTGCTACCTATACTAATACTATACTGTCATATTGTGTAAACACAGTAAGTAAACTACTCCTACTTTCTGACCTCAAACAAACTTTCCTATCTCTTTGGATTTTATATCATGCTTTCATTTTTCAACATTTATAATAAATAAATAAATAAAATAGAGAATGAGAGCTTCATTTTCTTTAGACTTAAATATATTTTAAATATATTTTTAATCTTTATAAATATAATAATTTTTAATTTTAATTTCTATAAAAAAAATTTTTAAACAATGATTCTCACAATATTTTTTGTGTTTATTTTTTATCTCTCTTATTAAATTCAACTAATAGAAGATTACGTGTCACGCTATGTGTCATGTCACGTTAATTAAAGTCAATACTTAAACCTCTTTAAATTGTTGAGAGGAAATCATAAACGTAATAGAATAATCCAACAACACAAATTCTCCTAAATATCAAATGCAACAAAAATTAATAAAAACACATTAAATAACACAACACAATTTTATCATGGAAAAACTTATGTTAACTAGGAGTAAAAACTCACGAGACCTGTAGGTCACTTAAAATCTCTACTATAATCAACAATGGATACAAGCAAGGTTCTCTCTAACACTAGTTAGATGCATACATAAACATCATCAAGATTTAGAATCAATCTTAGAATACAACAAGAATCAAGAGAGACAAAACAACCCAAAAACACCAAGAAATTCATACCTCAAAGATGGATTCGACAGACTGACTTAGAAAGCTCCAAATCCATTGAAAATCTTTCAGAATGTGCTCTTATGAGTCATGAACTTTGTGTCAAAATTTCAGGACGATCCGACCGTTGGATTTTGCGCAAGCTCCAATTTTTTAACACTGATTTGTGCAGAATTGGGGCTGCAGGAATAGGATTTTATCTATAACTTTTCTTGTTGTTTTTCTCACACAATAAATGAATAACTAATTCTCTTTGTTGGATAATAACAAAGACATAGACACACATGGACCACTAACCCACATCCATTTGTGCCTCTTCAAATAGGAAGGATAGCCCAACAAACTTCCTCGACCGACTAGTTGGAGGGCAACACCAATCTGACTACCATGCTACAAAACTCAAACTTTCTTTTAGGCAACACCTTCGTCAACATATTCGAACCATTGTCATCAGTGTGAATCTTCTCAAGCTCCATCAAATTGGAATCTAATTCATGACGAATCAAATGATAACGAACATCAATATTATTTGACCTCGAGTGAAAGGAGAAATTCTTCGATAATTGAATGCAGTGTTTTAAAACCCAGCCCGACCCGGCCGGTCGGATCGGTCTGACCGAGAACCGGTGGGCCAGGCGGTCTGATTAAGGGATAAGACCGGAATTACATTTAGACCGGATGAAGCCGGTGTGAACTGGCCGGATCACCGGTTAAACCAGTGAACCGACAGTTTTTACTGAACCGGCGATTTTTACTGAACCGGCGAGTTTGACTATTTATTTTATTTTTTAGGGCTTTTGAAAAAAAAATTAACATAAACGCTTTGCCTCCTCGTTTCCCAAACCTAGGCATTTGAAAGGTTTTCTTTTTTATTCTGACTTTTCTTTTTCTAATTGAAGTCATATTCTCAATTTTCTCTACCAACAAAAACTCCCACTTGCTGCTGTTATTCGATATTCCTTGTTTGCCGTCAAAAATTTCATCAAAACATCAAAAACAGGTTATTTCTTTTTTACTTGGTCTAATTTGCATTGATGTTTTTCAATATGAATATTATTGTTTCATTTTGTTGATTAATTGATATAGAAAATAAATGATTAAATTTGATCATTTTCTATAAAATTGGGTCTTTTAGTTTAATAAATTGAGATAGAATTTGTATGAATGAAGCAGTTTTATACTTTTATGAATTAACTTATTATAGACTGGTAATGAAGTTGTTGTATATTGGAGATATAAATTGGGATAGATATATATTAGTGTAATAGTCGTTGTATATATTATGGAGATAGAAATTGAGTTTAAAACTATGTAATATAAATTATATAGTAAGACAAAGTTTTCTGTTTTTTATTAATTTAAATTATATAACAAAGAAAAATTTCAGGATTTTATTAATCTAAAATATATAGCAAAGACTGGAAAGCAAAGTTTCTATTTTTTTATTATATATGGTGATGCACAGTAACGATGCTTGGTAGCCTATATGTAATATACAACAACATATTCATATATTTTGGATTTAGATATGCTACATATTTAATGTTTCTTATAATGTTTTTATAAATTCAATAATTTTTGTTTAGAATTGTGTTTTGTTAATATTTTTGTAATATAGTTTTGTATTTTTAAATTTTAATTGATATTAGATATGGCATCACCCGCTGAAGTGATAACTTCGGAAGAAGTTACATCTTAAAATCCAACCCAACTCCAGAGTAGGGATGTCAGTTTGGACCTGTTAATGGGGATCCCCGCGGGGAACGCCCCGTTCGAGGCCCCAAAGATGGGGAATTTTTCCCCGTGGGGGCGGGGATGGGGAGAAAAATTCCCCCGAGAGCATTTCGGGGACGGGGACGGGGAATACACCCCCCGCCCCGCGGGGACCCCGCCCCGCCTATTATTTTAATATAGTTAATTTAATATATATATATTTTAGATTAGGTTTTTTAGTCATTTCCTTTATGTTTATTTATAAAAATAAATAAATAAATATTCATGTATTTATTAAGAGAGAGAAATGTAAATATTAGACCCTAAAAAAGTATTATAGTTCATTTTGTTGAATTTTATAGCATTTTATAGAAATTTATAAAAAAAATATTATTATTTTGTGTTCCATTAGTATTTTTAATAAAAAATAATAAATGTCAAATACTAGTATTTTTTAATAACATAATAAATATGTGAATTCTTTGTGCTTTTTATTTTTATAGAAAATATAAACATTTTAAAAAAATAAAATATTAATGAATAAATGTAGGATCTATGGGGATCCCCGCGGGGAACGGGGATCCGCGGGGAACGGGGATGGGGATAGAAATTCCCCCGTGACGGAGATCGGGGACGGGGACGGGGAATGAATTTGATGGCGGGGAAAAAGATGGGGAAGTGTCCCCCCGGCCCCACCCCGCCCCATTGACATCCCTACTCCAGAGCAGTAGGGGAAAAACTGATATAGCTTGGGGTCATTGTAAACAAATTGAAGAGAAAGGAAAACTTGTTAATTTGTGTATTTACTGTGATAAAATTATTAGAGGAGGGGGGATTAATAGGTTTAAATTCCATTTGGCTGGAATAAAAGGTCAAGTTGAAACATGTAAAAAGGTGCCTCCAGATGTTCAATATCAAATGAAACAAAATATTGATGAAGGTGCAAATAAGAGAAGAAAGACTCAAGCACAAAATTTTGATGTTGATCTTACTACTCAAGAGGGTGGTGTAGTAGAAATGAATGTAGAACAATCAAATTCGGTGATTGTGTCTCAAAAGAGAAAGAATACTAGTCATATTGGTAATTATTGTATGCCTAGAACAACTCCTGGAGCTAAATCTTCTTTAAAAAGTGTGTTACAAAGTAAGAAATTAGTGGAGAAGTGTGATCTAACTATTGCAAGATGGTTCATTGATTCTTCTGTGCCATTTAATACAGCTAATTCTGCGTATTTTCAATCTATGGCTGATGCACTTTGCAGCATGAGACTGGGGTATAAAGTTCCAACTATGCATAGTCTTCGTAGTTATTTGTTAAATAAATGGGTTGAAGATGTGAACAAATTGATAGAGGAGTATCGTGAGATTTGGAAGAAAACTGGTTGTACTCTAATGGCCGATGGAATGACTGATCGAAAAAGAAGAACTCTTATAAACTTTCTAGTTTATTGTCCCAAAGGTACTATTTTTCTAAAATCCGTTGATGCTTCTCATGCTTCAAAAACTGCAGATATATTGTATAAGCTTTTTAGAGAGGTGGTTTTATTTGTTGGGCCTGAAAATGTAGTTCACATAGTGACAGATAATGCTGCAAATTATGTTGCTACTGGAAGGTTATTAGAAAATGAATTTCCTACTTTATTTTGGTCTCCTTGTGCGGCACATTGCATTAACTTGATGTTGCAAGACATGGGAAAATTAGAGGAAGTAAGTGAGACAGTGTCACATGCTTCTAATGTTACCAAATATATTTATAACCATTGTTATGCATTGTATTTAATGAGAAAGCAAACAGGTGGAAGAGAAATCCTTCGTCCTGCTCCAACTCGGTTTGTCACTAATTTCATTGCTTTGCAAAGTATTTTGTCTCACAAAAACTCACTAAGAGCCATGGTAACATCTAAAGAATGGACAAGCTCATCATATGCCAAAGAAGCAAAGGCAAAACAGTTTGTGGATCAAGTTTTAGATTTTGGATTTTGGAGTAAATGTGTTGATGTAGTTAAAC